AGTGTTATTTTAACACTTTCTGAGTACACTCACACCCAGTGTTGGTGTTAATTCACAGTGTTGATTTCCTCAGTATTATATAACACTTAACAGTGTTGTTTTATAACACCATGCAGTGTTGAAAGACGTGTTCTGAAAAGCCACACCCTCTTCCACCTCATGTCTGACAGACCAGCATTCCTTGCTGAGAAATCATGCACAAATGGTGTTTTTGCATGTTTGTGACCATTAAAGAAGTTCATGAGAGTAAAAATTAGTTGTTCTGGTTAGTTTTCTTGTTCAGTTTGATCAAGTTGTTTAACTTTGTTTGTTATTGGCCAAAAATCGACACCATAAGTGAGAGGTACTTCCTGGTGTGTGAAGGGTGACTCCATTTTATGTTTCTACTGACTACTGAGTAGTGTTMATGCAACACTACAAAGAGTTTGATTTTAACTCTGTTAAATTTATGCTCTCAATTTGATGGTGTATTGACACCTTGTGGTGTCTGTTAACCTTTCTAACACCACAATTTCCTTTGTTAATAATAATACACTGGTGATACTTTTAACACATTATTTTAACACTGTTGAAATATTATGTCGCCCAATATTGTTGAATATTTTACACTGGCTGTTGTTACTTTTAACACTATATTTTAACACTAAAACTGTTTTTATGGTAATGTGACWCCAAGAATTGTTGAATATTAAACACTGGTTGGTGTTAACTTAACAAAAAAATGAGTGTTAAAATTTAACACTTTCACAAATGTTATTTTAACACCAGCGAGGGTGGACACATATAGAAACTTTGTTGGTGTTAAAATTAACACTGTGGGTGTTAAATAAGTTGCCTTCAGGCCCAGGCTGCCCTTGGAAAAGAGATCTGTGATCTCAGTGGGGTTTGCCTGGTTAAATAATGGTAAATAAAATAAAGCACTGCCTATTTATGCATAGCCCTCCCCGGAGCTCAGTCCTGTGAAGATATGCTGAAGTGGGAGTGTCCGAAACAGCAGAAGTTTCTTAAAGAGACAGAGGGCAATTTCAAGATGTTTAAATAGGCTATGATGCAAAGTCAAAAATGTTATCTACAGCATTTTGAAGCAAACATAGTTACTTGATTGTGGTTTAGATAATTATTATTATGGTGGGGCTGTGGCGGAGTGGTTAGGGGAGTCGTCCCGGAATCGGAAGGTCGTCGATTCGATCCCCCATCCAGCCATTTCAGTCGTTGTGTCCTTGGGCAAGACACTTCACCCGCC